GAATTTGTAATTTTTAGTTTTTACCAAATATAATACAAAATATGTTAGGTAGGTATTTATAACAAATAATGTACTTATACTTATATGTCAATACAAGATGACCCAGTTAAGTGTGAACACTCATTACTTCAAACATTTTCAAGTTTTTAAAAAATGTATAATATGATTGTTTTACATAGTTTGATATTATTCCAAAACTACATAGGTATTTCAAATAAAACATATTTTTAATATTTGTTTTAAATGTTTCCTTTTTTGAATTGCAACGTACATTTTTTATTTTATATTCCGTAGAATAATAAGTAGGTATTTCAATACACAAAAATCAAATTTTTAATGGTTATTTAATTAGATAATATAATATTGGTAAGTATTTAAACTGTTAAGTTTGGAAGAGTGGTATAGAGTGGCACAGAGGTAATCCGCAAAATGTTGGTCCACTACTACGTTCAACTAAACTTTTAATAACTACTTATTAGTTATAACTTATAACTAATTAACTACTTGTTCTAGCTTCGATTTTTATGTACCAAATTAATCAGGAAAATATTCTAATTCGGAATATGATATTAAAAATATATGTATGTCATATAAAAAGTAAAACTTCAAAATTGACGATCATAAAAAATTTAAAAAATATAATTTTATTGAAAAATAAATGAACAAGTATAACTAGCAATAATGACGTAAAATTATCTAAAAACAATGTTTTCAAACTATGTTTAGACAGTAGATAGATACTTATGTAGATCACCTCGTATAATATAACTATAATCAACATATTGTATATCAACGGGCGATGATTAAATGTACAATTATTAAATTATGTAGATAAAAACAATATAATATTATGCAGTTTCGTATGCTGTTCAGTAATTCCAGGTGAAAAAAAAATGTCCAATACATTTTAAAGTTAAAATAATAATTTACTTATTCGTATTATTATAGACATTTCTAAGAGTCGACATGTATATTTGTATTCATGTTTGTGTATCAAATTGCCAAATACAATACGGGAGCTAAACATAATGCTATTTGCGTACATATATAGAACATTTTGAGTAGGTTCGTATTATTATTATTCTATTTTTATTATTTTTTTTTTTGGCCGTGACAATGGCAGACAAAACTCGAATTTTAAACATTATTGTATTATTGGGTCTGTGGAGTATAAACGAAGAAAAAAGAGCAAGGTGTACGAATACAGTTGAACGAGTGACAAGGTTACGGTGCTCTCAAAATTCATTGCATAGTTTGTAATTAATGTAAATCATAATTTACCGGTTTATTTACCTCTCATTAGTTTCAGGACGTTTTTACTTGATCAGGATCCACTCTACGTTTGAGCACTCAATATCTATCTCAATAAAGATTACTACCACGAATGAAAGAATTATAATATCGTATAATATGTATACTTTTATGTTTATTATTATGAACCAAATGATAGCAAGCTCTATACCATAGTATTATAATAAATGACGTTCAAATACGTGAAAAATATGTTGTATCAACATTTTAACAATAGCCCATAAAATAATAAGTAATACCTAACCATAATACTCACTATTATAATAACTAAAATATGTGAGTAACGTACTCATTTAATCAAGTTTTTGTAATAATAAAAATAATTAATAAAATTCATATCTAAATCTATGTGTACAAAATTATTATTAGTACTCTGTAATCTCGGAAATCACAATAGCTATCGAAGCTTTATTCTCGTATTAGGTTTGGTTAGTGCATCCATTGGTTTTTTTTTTTTATTAGGTTCTGTTGTTCCGATGGAAAATAACTATTTATGAGAAATACACTTTTGAGTCAGCTAGTTATAATATAAATAATATCATTGACTGTACATATAGTTAGTGTTTGAAGTATGAAATATTTCACTATACATATATGGTGAAATATTTCACAAAAACGTGAAACATTGAAATTGTTTTAATACAAATATTAATGATGATTATTTTATTTTTTATCAATTGTTAATTATATAGTCCAATAGTACTAAGTATAATCATTGATATTAATGGAATATGAGTGCTTGGGTTAGCATATTACCATAGTATATTATAATATGTATAATATTGTATACTTGTATCATTTAAACATTTTAGTAAGTTTTTTTCCAATATAAACATTTTGAATACAATTTTAAATGTATAATACCAAAGGTTATTTATATATTTTTTTTATATTATTTAGCTTCCATATTATTTCAATTATTATAGTTAAACAGTTAGGTATAGAGAAAAAACGTTAGTAAACAAAAGGTTAGGTATAAAATATGTACCATCAAATTATGAAGGTAATTGATGAACATTTATATATAAATAAGAAACTTATTTTAAAAAAAACAAAATTTATTAAAATACTGAAATATTTCACAATTTTAAATTTCATGAAATTTTCAAACACTTCATAAAGTATATAATGCAAATACAACATAATCAATAATAAATTATATTATATATTATAAAAAATAGGTATTATATATAGTATAATAAATAAAAACATTTTTGTAAATTACATTACATTGATGGATTTTTGATATTGTCTGCGATATCCCAGTTTATCACAATTCACTATGATAATTACCTATTGTACAAATTCCCGTTTCATATCCATGAGTATGATAAGTAGGTAACTACCTTACATTCGATTTTTAGTTTTATTTCGTGTTCATAATATTATATGATTTATACAATTAAATGTATATTATATAGCTTGCATTAAAAATTATATATACATTATGTACCTATACATACCTGTATAGTGTATACTATATATTATAGATTTATTTTATATTATAGTGCCCAAATGTGCTACGATATCAGAACAAAATAGTGTCCAAACGTATTACGATTACGTGCCCAAAAGTGTCGCGTTTTGGGTTAAAAAATATGTTGTGGCTGTTTTCTCTGGGCCTTCACATAAGCTGGCATATTCCACAGATTTAATAGTGTTATACATAATAATATAAGCTTTATACTCATATAATTCGATATTAGGTAGGGCAAGGCTAAAATGGGTACCAAATGTTATGTAATAAATTATTTGGACACTGATGTAAAATGATGAATGACAGCAAACGATTAATTTTGGCATATACAGTTAAAAACCATTTTATAGCAACTGACAACTGTAGTTTTGATTCTTGTTGACAGTTGAGTTCATAAATCCACATGCTCTAATGTCTCATTAAAACGCAACGAGACCCGGATTACCAAAAAGAGTCAGTAGGTTGTAAGAATGCAAAACACCGGTTGTTTTTGTTTGATATATAGTGTTTTTATTCTTGCATTTTGAAAAGAATTGTCAAATTTATTTAATTGTGTTACAGTATATTCTTTTCATTTACACATGCTCTGTTGAGCTACAGATATTTTATTTCAGTTCAAATAAATAATTTATTCAGTTTTGTTTTACAGTATTTTCTTTTAACATACATATGCTCTGTCGAGCTACAGATATGGTTTTTTATTTAAATGTGAGATGATAAATTACAATATCTAAAGACTCACGTGGACCGTGAAAGTAAGAGACAGACTATGGGTATGTTGTGTCCAATGGCAGCCTACTCTATCGGTGGTGCTGGATGACAACGATACAAAAATGTTCCCGGGCGGTGGCTTGACTCGTCCTCAGGTATAGGTACTGCACTCTCCTCGACTGGTTCCAACGTGGTTGATGATATTGATATGTATCACTTTGGTATCATGCGTTGGTTGTCGTGCGTACCGTCAATACGTCTGCGATACGTGAACGACGACAACAACAACGGTGATACGGCAACGGACTGATACGAGATCACAGCGGCGCGCTCTGTGTGGCGGCGGCGATAACAATACGACACGCGGCGTGATAACGGCGCTCGGCGTAGCGACGATCGTAACACGCGATGGGACGGTAAATCGAGTCTACCGGTCGTGGCGGCGCGCTCGTCGTGGCGGCGGCGGCAACGGGGACAAACAACGACTACTGCAACTGGGTACCGGGGGCTTGAACAGTACGTTTTGAGGCGTACCACCACCGATACCTAGCGAGAGTGTTGGGGAATCTTCCTCTCCGTCTACTGTTAAGTGTGAGTGGCTTGAACAGTACGTTTTGAGGCGTACCACCACTCACACTGCGAGTATAGGGAGAGGGCTTTGCGGGAGAAGGCGGTTTGAAGTTACACACTAAGAAAGGCGGTAAGTTGAAACGGCGTGCGATTTGATGTGTTGAAACTGTAAAACTGGTGAACTGAGTGAGTTGAGTGAACTGTGTGATTCCATTGACCGTGCTGGCTCATATTTATGCCCTGTTTGCACTACGGGCGGTGTGTTGTATAGGTGAAAGTAGGTAGTTGCTTTCATTGTATTTCTGTATGTTGTATACTCTCTACCCTATGGGCGGCTACATGTAATTAGGGTGTAATCTTCTGGGGAAGATGATGGTTGTAACAGTTTTACGGGCTGTCGTGGTGGTTTTCCATAAAGTCGCTAGAAGTGTTGACGGTCGGAAAACCTGCGTAACGGCGCGCACTCTATGCGGCGTCATTGCGTCATCGGTTTTCTGGATGTAATACGTGTTTTCTTCTTAATTCAACTTCTTTGGTACTTCTTTATATGCTTGGCGTGTTAAGAGCGTTGTATAGCTTTAACTTATATCGTTCAATGTGCTTGAATAAGTCGTTACAGTGACAAGTTGGTAGCATAAGTAGGTATTCCTATCGTTACGGCGGCGCGTGTTTAATAGTTTGGGTTCGCGTGTTGGCGCGTGTATAGATGGCGACACATATTCCGTTATATTTAATTATAATAGCAATTCTGCATCGTTACATTGTCCCCTTTTACATTTATTTTTTTTTTTTATTATATGTGTGAAAGAGAAATTTAAAAAAAAAAAAAATTAATGTAAACTTTGTATGCTACACATGGATGTCTTTTCCACTGTAGGTCGGTATGCGCTATAGATCCGGAGGATCTGTAAGTAAGTTTTTTTTTTTTTTTTTACTCATGTTTTCTTATTTTACCTATGTTCGCTATCCATTTCATTTTTTTCTTGGCACGATTGCTAAGTGGTTTTTCTTCTGGATCAGCGGTAATTTCTTCTTCAATGGCACTTTGTTCCGTGTCATTGATGTGTATCTCTAGTTCTGCATCCCTGTTATCGGTTTCGTCTTCAATGGTGATTGCAGTTGTTTGTGTGGTTGGTTGATTTTCTTTTAACACTAGTTTGACAGAGTCTGGTATGGTGAATGTTGGTTCGATGGAATATTGTGTAATTTGTGCTTGTTTTATGCGTAAACATCTGGCTTCTGCTTTTTTCTCTTCAATTGTCTTTTGTTTTTGTTGTATATCTAGACGTTGTAGTGTTTCATGTGTTTCGCGAGGTTTTCTAATGGATAGTAGTTGATTATCTTCATCTAAATAATCGTTATTAAACAATTCAATCATTAAATAATATAAATGATCATTTAGATGTTCGTTTGCCATGTTGTCGTCCATCTGGAAATATATAAAATTATGTTATGACAATTATGAGGACAAATGACAACATGGTCTTATTGGGGTTTTATTTATAGTCTTGCAGAGGTGTCTTCAGTACTGCTCTTCCCTGGATCTGGGGGCATGTACCGTTTGACATTCTTCATGCTGTGTGTTGATATGATGTTTTGATCATTGCATACTGTGATTGTGTTATTTTGGTTCACTGATTGTATGGTGTATGGTCCCTTGTACAAAAGGAAAAATTTGTGTATCTCTCGGTCTTCTGCGGACGATAGTTTATGTTCCTTTATTAACACTTGTTGTCCCTCTTCATATTTTGGGAATTTTTTATTTTTGTCCTTTTGTTGGTTGCGTTTTTCTGATTGGTGTTTTAACTTGGTTCTTACGATTTCGATTATTCCTTTGTGGTCAGGTAGAATGGTATTCTCTGGGTAGTGAATTTTCTTACTTATGCTAAGGTTTGGTTCAGTACCATGAAGAACCTGTGTTGGAGAAAAACCTGTGGAGTCGTGAGTAGCGTGGTTTATCCAATATTCGATGTTGGTGAGCCATCTTACCCAAGCAGTGTGTTTCTTGTGACAGTAGGTTCTCAACATCCTGCCGATCTCCCTGTTTGCTCTTTCTACCGGGTTGCCTTCTGGATGATACGGAGTTGTATGTAATATTTTCACGTTCATGAGGGTTAGCACATTGTACCATTTGTTGCTGTGAAATTGCGTACCGTTGTCGGTGAGTATGGACTTCATTTTTCCGATCTTTGGTATGTATTCTTGAGTAATGCGCTTGAGGATAGTGTCAGTGGTTGCTTTTCTAAGTGGATATAATTGAATATATTTTGAAAAGATATCTAGTATAGCAAGTATGTATTTCGATCCACCTTGTCCCCTTGGTAATGGTCCCATTAGATCAAGAGAGACGATTTGAAGTGGTTCAGTGGGTAGGATGGTCCCTGTTGGTCCCCTTGCTCCTTGGTTGGCGCATTTTGATTTCTGACATAGGTCACAAGTTTTTATGATTCGCTTGACTGTTCGGTACATGTTAAATAATTGATATTGTCGATGTAGCATTTGGTAAATCTTTAGAGGTCCTAGATGTCCATATTTTTCATGCGTTTCGGTGATATCAAGTTCTAGCATTCGTTGTATTTCTTGGTCGATGCGATTACTTTTTGATACTGGAATGGGGTATGGTTTTTGGTAAATGGGTGTCCCCTCTGTTGTTCGAATTTGACATTCGAATGCAGTGATTTTCCCGGGACGGTCGGAAAAAATGTGTGCGTATTGGTTCATGAGTGTATCGAATTGTTCACTTTCTTCATCATTGATTGCTACTTGATCTTTTTTTTCTTCGTCGCACTCATTGATGGTCATATCTTTTAAGCTTCCCTGTGGTGCAGTAATTTTTGGTAATTTTTTTGAAAACGGGATGAAGTAGATTTGTCCTGATATTTTCATTCTGATCGTGTGATTGTCAAAGTCAATTCGCATGTTGTATTTATTTAGTATATCTGACCCAATAATGCCCCTTTCATTAAGTCCCTCGACTTGTATGAAATTAGACACTATAGTGGCTTCTTTGAATTGACACTGACAGAACACTTGTCTTGAGGTTTTGCATATTTGTTTGCCGACAGCATTACTTATCTTAACTCCGGTGACAGGTAGCTGTGGTATTCGTGGATTTTTCTTAATTATTGTATCAACCACTTCTTTGGTTAACACGCTGATTGTTGCTCCGGTGTCTACCAGTACTTCAATTTCTTCTCCCTCAATGAGGCATTGTATGTATGGACTGAATGACTCACCATTTCCCTCCATTTGATTGATAGTTTGTTCTGGCTCATCACTCTCATTGCTTGTGGTAACTTGATTAATTTGCTGATTGTTTTCTCTTGGTGTGTTTTGATTGTTTTGTCGATTATTCCATCGATTGTTTTGTTGGTAATTGTTGTTTCGGTTGTGGGGCCTGTGACTCCAATTATGTTGTGTCGTTTGTCCCTCTTGATTATTGTTCGGACGATTGTTCTCGTGTTGGTTCTTGTTTTGATGATGGGTGTCATCTTTATGAGGTTGATTTTGTCCTTCTTCGCCTAATATTTTCATTGCTGACAATATTGTTCGTTCTGGCATCGATACCAGGATGGCTCTTAGATAGCCTGGGTAGTGCTTTGCAATATGCTTGACTATTTCCGGCTCTGACAGGTGAGGTACTTCTAGGTGCCTTAGCTTGGTGGCCCATGTTGCGAAGTGTTCCCGAAAATTGGTATTTTGAGGTATGTGTGTAATGCTGAGGCACTGACTCCATACTTGGATTTGGATTTCTCTTGACCAATATTCATCAATAAATGCTTTTCGAAAATCATCATAATCCCTTAATTGAAATCGTATGGTCGAAAACCAGTTGAGTGCGGTTGCTTTCAGGCAATCTCCCACCACGATTATTTTTTCTCCTACATATAATTGTTTAATTGCAAAATATTCGTCTAGACGGTGTAGAAAGTCAACGGGATGCATGTCACGGTTGCTTCCATAAAATGATGGACGTGTCATTTCACTGATGTGACTTGGTTCTGGTCTTGAAGCATTTGTATATGTTTGTTTTTTATTTAGATTATTATAATTAAATTTAATTTCGTTCAATTCGTCTTCTAGTTCGGTGATTTTTCTTTGATATTTTTCTTCATTGTCTGCAATTTTCTGTAAACATTTTTCTTCATTATCTGCAATTTGTTGTCTTAGTTGGTTGACTAAGCTCTGACTGTGTTGTTCAATTTCTCTTTTGAGAGCGTCGAACTCTTCTCTACCAATTGTATCTTTTCTTGGTGCCATTTTTTTTTTTTTTTTTTTTTTTGAAATGATGTAGGTTCTGACACGAAGTAGGTTTCTTCTTTATTTTTTTAATGATGTAGGGGTCTCTTTTCTTCGAGTCCTGTAGTTGGGCGCCAATTGTAAGAATGCAAAACACCGGTTGTTTTTGTTTGATATATAGTGTTTTTATTCTTGCATTTTGAAAAGAATTGTCAAATTTATTTAATTGTGTTACAGTATATTCTTTTCATTTACACATGCTCTGTTGAGCTACAGATATTTTATTTCAGTTCAAATAAATAATTTATTCAGTTTTGTTTTACAGTATTTTCTTTTAACATACATATGCTCTGTCGAGCTACAGATATGGTTTTTTATTTAAATGTGAGATGATAAATTACAATATCTAAAGACTCACGTGGACCGTGAAAGTAAGAGACAGACTATGGGTATGTTGTGTCCAATGGCAGCCTACTCTATCGGTGGTGCTGGATGACAACGATACAAAAATGTTCCCGGGCGGTGGCTTGACTCGTCCTCAGGTATAGGTACTGCACTCTCCTCGACTGGTTCCAACGTGGTTGATGATATTGATATGTATCACTTTGGTATCATGCGTTGGTTGTCGTGCGTACCGTCAATACGTCTGCGATACGTGAACGACGACAACAACAACGGTGATACGGCAACGGACTGATACGAGATCACAGCGGCGCGCTCTGTGTGGCGGCGGCGATAACAATACGACACGCGGCGTGATAACGGCGCTCGGCGTAGCGACGATCGTAACACGCGATGGGACGGTAAATCGAGTCTACCGGTCGTGGCGGCGCGCTCGTCGTGGCGGCGGCGGCAACGGGGACAAACAACGACTACTGCAACTGGGTACCGGGGGCTTGAACAGTACGTTTTGAGGCGTACCACCACCGATACCTAGCGAGAGTGTTGGGGAATCTTCCTCTCCGTCTACTGTTAAGTGTGAGTGGCTTGAACAGTACGTTTTGAGGCGTACCACCACTCACACTGCGAGTATAGGGAGAGGGCTTTGCGGGAGAAGGCGGTTTGAAGTTACACACTAAGAAAGGCGGTAAGTTGAAACGGCGTGCGATTTGATGTGTTGAAACTGTAAAACTGGTGAACTGAGTGAGTTGAGTGAACTGTGTGATTCCATTGACCGTGCTGGCTCATATTTATGCCCTGTTTGCACTACGGGCGGTGTGTTGTATAGGTGAAAGTAGGTAGTTGCTTTCATTGTATTTCTGTATGTTGTATACTCTCTACCCTATGGGCGGCTACATGTAATTAGGGTGTAATCTTCTGGGGAAGATGATGGTTGTAACAGTTTTACGGGCTGTCGTGGTGGTTTTCCATAAAGTCGCTAGAAGTGTTGACGGTCGGAAAACCTGCGTAACGGCGCGCACTCTATGCGGCGTCATTGCGTCATCGGTTTTCTGGATGTAATACGTGTTTTCTTCTTAATTCAACTTCTTTGGTACTTCTTTATATGCTTGGCGTGTTAAGAGCGTTGTATAGCTTTAACTTATATCGTTCAATGTGCTTGAATAAGTCGTTACAGTGACAAGTTGGTAGCATAAGTAGGTATTCCTATCGTTACGGCGGCGCGTGTTTAATAGTTTGGGTTCGCGTGTTGGCGCGTGTATAGATGGCGACACATATTCCGTTATATTTAATTATAATAGCAATTCTGCATCGTTACAAGGTACCTATACTAGTACTGATACTAAAATACTAAATTAAGAACTATTCAGATTTTTATTTTATTGATTATTTATCATAATCGTTATTATTATTTTTTTTTTTTTTTTATTGATCTTTAGCCCGGTAGCTATAGCCATCAGCTGTTTGTAGGGGTCTACGGTTGGATTCTAACACGTGTGTATATATGTTTGACAAGGATTTGTCACTAAAAACCCGGGTGGTCGCCCATCCGGGAACTAGTGATGCTGACATGCGGTGCTTGCACTCAGAACACGTTTCGTGACTAAAATGCAACCACCACGCCATACCAAGCTACAAAATCGATATTATGTTTTCAAATAAAATAAATGGAATATTCTGTAAATACATGGGTATTCCATGCTTTTTCTTATAAATAAATTCCGTATTGATGTTTTTAATGATCGTATACATTTATGTTTATTCTTTGCGAAACGATAT